GAGTTGCAACCAGAGTCACGGAACGGATTAAATTCGTAACTCGAGGTTCCACTGTACTTGTACACATTCTAGATAATTTTTCTGGCTCCATATACCAACAGTACATCATTTTGTAAAAATTCTCTTTTAGGTTATAACATAATGTGAATTTCAATCCTTTCAACCACGTTTTCCCAGACTTCCAGGTTTTCCAACAGTTTATTATGAGTACAGTTTTCTAAATCAGCCTTTTTCATTAACTATCAGTCTCTGTTGAAAAGGATTTTTTTTTTTTTGGTAGTAATGAAGGGAGAATTTGGAGCAACTACTTTAGGGTTGGAACCTACATTTATTTCGTTAGTCCCAGCTATTTTTAATTCTCTTGTTATGGGGAAATAAGCCATTGCTAAGAAGTAGGCCATATATCCTATGAAAACTAAGGATCTGCCTAAGCTCCTACCATACTTTTAGGGAGGACTCCATCTAAAATCTGTAAAAGTGTCCACTACACAGTCTCTGATATATCTTAATGTTCCTACTGGAGACCATACCCCCCCCCCCCCACTTTCCTTAGAAGTTGAATAGGCTTTATGTTTAACAGAGCTGCAGGTCTTGATTGGTTTCCAACTGGCAGGATGGGAGGTCCTCCTTTTAAAAGAAGAAACTTTGGTGGCCCTCAGCCTTATCTGTATTGGCATCAGCTGTTGCTTTCAACAGTTCATGATTATCTTTAGATAAGCACTTAATAAGGGACCACTTTCTTGCTTTAATGGACTCACTTATGTGTTATTGTTTTACATTACTGGATCCTGACTGAGATCAAGCCTCAATTCACTCAGACCTGAGATGACCAGTTCTCAGAATTATCATATGTGTTCTGTTCCTTTTTTCATCTCATACATTTTTTGCTTTTACTATTTGTATTTCTGTGGAGGCTGTACAATGTTCAATGCAAGAAAGATCAGCAATCTAATAACCAACAAAAGCAATTGTTTAGTTATCAGATACACAGAAATGATTCAAGGCAGATACTCCAAAATAAATAATCAAAATCCTAAAAGTACACATAACAGTGATAATTCAGAAATGGCTTGTTCCAATCTCTGTAAAAAAGGAGTCCTGTTTCTGACTTAACATAGATTTGAAAGGAGATATTCAGACCACTGAGCCCATGTCCCTCCTTGAGACAGAAATCCAAATCCAGATAGATGGCTACCTAGACTCTACTAGAACACATCCAATAAGGTGGCCTTCATTACCTCTTTGGGTAAACAATTCCACTATCAAAGTTGGAAGATTTTTCTAACATTAAATTGGAATCTGCCTGCTTTTACATAAATCCATCATTCCATGACCTATGTTCTGGATTGAGAGAAAAAGGTCTTGATTTTCTTCTATGTGCCATCTTTTCACATGCTGTCATCTGCTCTCACTTGTCTTTTCTTAAGACTTAACATACTCAGGTCCATCAATCTCTCTTCATAGGTTTTAATTTCTAATCCCTTGACCATCTTTGCTGCCCTCCTATGAGCTTGTTCCAATTTTTCTGAATCCCTCGTAAAAAAATGGTGTCCACAACTGGGCACTATTTCTGAGATGAAATCTGACCAAAGCAGAGTAGAAGGGAATAATTACTTCTTGTGATATGGAAAGTATACCTCTCCTGATGTTGCCTAAGATTCTATTTACCTTATTTGCAGCCACATCACACTGTTGACTCATATTCAGTTTACAATCAACTACTGTTTCACAGATTTGATTGTTGTTTTCCTAAGTGAAGAAGTTTGCCCTTGTCATTATTAAACATTGTTCCATTACTTTCTGCCCATTTATCCAAATATCAAGTTTGTTTGGAATTTTATTTATCTTTTCTATGGTATTTTGTACCATCTGCAGATTTGATAAACTTTCCTTCTACTTTTTCAATCAAACAGCAGGTCAGGCAGGAGAGGTATGCTGTGGATCCCATCTCCAAAGGTGTTCCAGCTGGCAAGACCCAGGCAGCGTGACTTTCCTGCTGTGGCCCCCATCTCTGGACCATAATTCCCTGAGTTGAGGTTAGCCCCATCTCTGTTAGCCTTCCAGAAGGTCCTTAAAACATGTTTTTTTTTTCACTAGCCTTGGAGATCCCAGGGAGAGCCTGCAAGGTGGCTGTATGAAATTAAGTGATGTTTGTTTTCCCACTTTCTTGGGTTTTATCTGTTTGTTTTATCTGTTTATTTTATGTTTATTTTATTTTTTATTGTTTTAGATTGTTATGGAATGTTTAACTGTTGTGTTGTACGCTGTCCAGAGTCACATGTTTGTGAGATGGGCAGCTAAATAAACAAACAATAAAATATTGAAAAGTAAATAAAATTATCTTTATGCCACTTCACCCACTATCTCTCTCCAATTTGACAAGGAGCCATTGATGAGCCACAATTTAAGTATGGTTTTCAAACCAGCAATGCATTCACTTGATTGCTGCACCATCCAGTATATCTGATCTAAAAAAGGTAAAATTAGTCTGCCAAGATCTGCTCTCGACAAATCACTGCTGATTTCTGGTAATTACTGCATTGTTTTCAAGATGATTATACTGTAGACCCATTTCTTGATCATTGGTTCTAAATGCCTGATGTATCTCTTGCTGATCTGTTCTAGAATCTTCCCAGGTTTCAATGTCAAACTGGTTTGTAGTTTGCAGTATCTTCTTTTGACCCTTTTTAAAGTCAGGGGCAACAATTGCTTTCTTCCAGTCATTTGGCATCATCAGTTCTCCAAGATTTCTCAAATATGATAGATAACGGTTCAACCAGACCATCAGCTACTTCCTTCAATACTCTGTGATACAATTCATCTGGCCCTAAAGATTTAAACTCAAGTGCAAAGGGATTTTCTTTACATTGTTACTATCAGTCTCAAGATTCACACCTGCCCCTTCATCCTGCTTTTCACAATTCCTTGGTGGAACCCATAGTTTTCTTGGTGAAGACTGAACTAAAACAGGAGTTAAATAACTCTGCCCCTGTTACTTGTTAGCATTTTGCCTTCTTCATTGGGCAGCCATTACACTGATTTTTACTTTGAACATATTTTAAGAAGCCCCACTTTATTTTTAGCATTCTTTGCTAATTTCAGCTCATTCTGAATTTTAGTTTTCCTGTTACCAGCTCTATAGTTCTGGGCTACCTGCTGTTCCTTTGTGATTTGGTGCTGTCAGTTTTCTGTATTTGTCGTTTTCAAATTTTCCCTGAGCTTTTTATGTAGCCACACTGATTTATTTTGCTGTCCTCCATTTTTTCTCTACCCTGGAATTGTTTGCAATTATACTTTTACTGTCTTCCTCCTGCTTTTGAGCGCCTTTTGCCATTAGCTTCTCTTGCTAGAGGATCCTACTTATCATTACCCTAAGTTTATTAAAATCCAACTGCTTAGTTGACTCTGCTCAGTTTTAGTTTTCCTTCAGAACTCAAGCATTACACAGTCACTTTCCCACAATATCAGGTCTATACTGTACCAGATCATATGCCATATTCTGTTTCTATGACGTTAAAACTGGCAGCATAATGTTGTGTAGGCACATTTAAAATTAAAATGACTGGATCATTATCCCTACTCATCTTAACTTTCATCATAACAGACCCAAGCTTTCACAAAAATCCTTCTGAAATAAAATATTATGAACAGTATTTGTTTATTATGTATATCATATTAATAGTTAATACTGATGTTGTTTTAATTGATAATAGTACAATGCGATCCTGTCATCTTTTTCAGCAGAAAATAGCACTGAATTTTGACACTGCCTAGTAAGTACGCTTAGGGTTGTACGTTTGCCCAACATATGTAGTCAAATCCCACTGCTTTTGGGAAAACATAGTTTAGTGATCACACATAGGATCAGCCTGTTAGAAGTTGAAGTAGTTTATGGAATGATTTCATTAAATTCAGAACAATAATTTCTGAGTCTAATATGTCCAGGGAGAAATTCCCTCTTCTCCTAAATGTTATGACCCAAGGGGTGGGGGAATAAAACGCAACATAATTCTTTACCTTGCATTAACATTTGCTACAAATCCATTTATTGGTGGCAAACGCATTACCGAATCAGTCCACTTCGTGCAAAGTTTTCACTTCCCTCCCTCGAAGAAACTTCCCAGGACCCAGCACGCTCGTTAAAAAACAACAACAGCAACCCGTGTGCTGTTAAACTATAATCCCATCTTTTCTAGTCACTCAGCAGCTCGCTTTCTCTTGTTAAGGTCTTCCTTTCCAGCCTAGGCTCGGGGAAAAAAGTAGCAGCTACCCAGCTCAGCGCCTGCAAAACGGAAATAATGCCCCTTGCTCTTCTTTTCCCACCGCGGCATCCAGATCAGAGCGAATGTACTGAATCTGGCTAAAATTCCTCGCAGCATCCTTCTCTTTCGGAGTGGCGCCCTCCTGTTTCTTGTCTCGCTGCAACAGCGGGAGCAACAGGTCGCCGAGCTGCAGGGCAAGCAACAAGTGTCTCCGGCAGGGTCGGCAGGCAGCGCACGGCAGCCCTGGAGGGCCTTTGAAGCGCATCGCCGCCGTTCTGTTTGGCCGGCTGGCTTGCTGGGGCTTTCCAGGTTGCCTCGGACTGATGTAATGGTGCTTGGTGCTAGCTTGAGGATGTCGGTCGACAAAGGGCATTTTTCTACCACCCCCACCCTTGATAACCTTTGAACAAAACCAGGCGCGTGCAAACGTGCTTTCCTTGCATCTAGGCCCGCACACTTTTTTCTCTACCAGTCTGCCCACGACGACGCAACTGTGCCTGCCGAAAAGTGCCAGTTCCCGCCTCCGTCGCCTGAGGCGCTTCTCAAAACTCCATCCATCCACCGCCAGCGGGGAGAGAGGGAGAGGGAGAGAGAGAGAGACGCGGGTTTTCTTCACACTTACCCTGGAAATAGTCAGAGGAGTGCTGAAATCTTTGCCTCCAACCAGGCGGAACCCCCATGGCGAAGGACCGTTCAGAGCCACTGTCTGGGGCATGGCGGGGCTCTTCAATCCAGAAAGGAAAGCGGAACGAGAGCGCGCCTGGCCAGCCGGCTGAAATCAACCCCGAAAGCGGCGCCCACTCCACCAGCTTCTCCGCTCTCCTCTCCTCTCCTCTCCTCTGCTGCTTTCTAATCCACTTAAAGCGCCTGCTAATCTCCGGTCCGGCCTGACGTCTCTCGGCTTCCCCGCACAGGGGAGAGAGAGTAGCAGGAGAAGGAGGAGGAGGAGGAGGAGGAGGGGGCAGAGAAAGGGAGAGGCGGGGCCCTTCACGCTTAGGGCGGGCGGGAATCCAACTTTCTCCTGGCCCTTCTGATTACACTTGGCGAGCGATTTTTTAGTCAGAGAAGCGACCTACAGTACGCGCGCCTTTTCCTTCAAGGGTTCCTGCTGTTCTTTTGTACCTATGAGGCGGTTGCTAACCAGTGCTTAGATTAACAGGGGAGAAAGCTATTGATAAAACTCCCAAACCTCAGCTTCAGATGCCCTCCCTAACTGACGTGCAACTTTCTAAGGAAAGAGTAACAAACGAACGAACGAACGAACGAACGAAGAACACAGGTAGGTCCTGCCTTTGCTTCGTCTCCAATTCCAGCAGCCCTGGCTTACATTTCTTTTCTCTACACATGGCTATACTATCAAGCCTCGGCTACAGCCCCCTCCCCCAACGTACGGATTGGTTTTATTTACACAATATTTTACAAATCCTTATAAGCAATTGGAACTCCAAGCAGTTTACAGAAGAATGGAAAATAAAATGCCTTCCCCTTACTTTTTATATTCTCCTAAAAATACTATCTATTTTTAGGAGATTTTAGCATAAAAGCTGAGCTAAAACTAAGGAAAAACCGCTGGATCCAACCTTCCACCCCTATATTCTGAGTAGTGTTTTTTAGAGGGGGATATGGGATCAAAAATACCTGACTTCCACGCGTTGGAACTTATATTTTCCTAGATAAGACAGGGTCCCAAATAATGCAGAGTTAGAAATTAAGGATATAACCTGCTATAATAAATAGTGTAAACTTTTCCTCACTTGAACTTAACAATGGTATAAAAACATGCTACAGCAACATCTTTTTCCTGCTTTGTCCCCATGATGTCGCCTTCATCTCATCCCCAGCCTATGAGTAGGATGGACTTAAATCATCCTTAGATATTCTGGTGTTAAAGCACCATTTCCCCCACCCCTGCCACCCTTCCTTTACTCCATAACTATCCAAGGGAGCCAAAGATATATAAAATCTCTTGGGGTTTTTCACTCATTGCCTTGGAGTAAAGTTAGGTGACTACAATGACTGAGCATTGACTGGTTTAATTTACTATGTTATTTATGAGAAATGATAGTAAAATGTTTCAATAAACTTCTGAAATAATGGTTAATTAAAAAGAGTGTTTTTTCAGTTTGTTTGTATTTGTCCTTTCTACCTAGATCATCTATGCCCATGGATACATCTGTGTCTGTGTGTGTGAGACACAGTTTTTCATCTGTGTTGATATAGCAGCGGCCCAAGTTATTTTGCGGCCCAAGGCACACAGGAAAATGACCTTCATACACAATGCACTTGAAACCAGGACATTTTTAAAGTCATTTTGTACTTATTAAACTGCTGCAACATTCTTCCATCTGAGATGAGACAGTTCCTATTTTTGTAATTGATCCTCTTGTATTTAACTGTATTAATGAAGCTTACTGTCCAGCATTTCACAGATGAAGATAGTTCATGCTTATAACAGTTCAGTTTAAATTCCAAAGGTTATGTTTGAACTTTTTCCACAACTCCACCTCTTGTATATACTATTACATAATTCGGAAGATTGTACTCCACCTGCTGCATTGTATACATTACCTACACTTATCTAAAGTCTGTTTGTTCTATTAACAGTTTGGTTAGACTTGGAAAATAAGGCAAGCTGAAGTCACAGTCTACCCAAGAAACTGTGACTCGGAGCCAGTCATTATTTCTAAATTTAGCCAAGTTGTTGTGTGAATAACAATAGGGGGTTAGGGGGAGGGGGAGAGAAAGAAGAATCATATACATGGTCTTTAGATCCTGAAAGGAGGGTCTATCACATTCATAAAAAAAAAATCCTAGCATGAAAAATGGCCTGCTGAATGTTACATGGTTTCTTTGTAGAAGTTGATGTGCAGTACACATACATTGATGTACACTATGAACAATCCATTTCCATTCTATTTAATAGCTTAAATGTACAGAGAATCATAAGGACACACCTGATATTGAGTTCAGTCAGCTTTTTCAATTACAATGCTGGTAATTTAAAGTTAAAAAAATTGAAAATGTCAAATTATCTTCTCCCTTAACCCATTCATTGTTATGATGAATATACCAATAAATACTCTCCCTCCCCAAATCTCTGTCACCATCATGTAAAACACAAAAAGGCTGAAATCCAAAACTCTTTTTGTTGCTGCTTGATTCTCTCCTTCTATTGAAAAGATTGGGAGGAGACCATTCTAGTTGGTTTGAAACAGGTGGAGTAGTTCTGGTTCTGCCATTATCAGCTATTATTTGCTTACCTGGAGACGTAGGTGAAGTGAGTAGCTCCATAGGTTAGCAACACATACCAAAATTGGAACACTTTAGCCACATGTACAAGCAGTACAGGACATAGCAGTACAGGAGACAGGGATGGGCTGAGGGTGCTGCCGCCCAGCCCCTTTGTGGGGGGTGCATGATGTCTCTGCTCCCTGGGTGAAAGCGGGGGGGGAGGGGGCGTGAAAGAGAAAGGTTTGGTTTTTGGGTGTTGGAGAGTTTGTAAGGAAGAAAGATTTGGATGCGGTGTTTGGATGGAGGACCTGCTTGGGTGGTGTTACAAAACCTGAGCAGAGCCTGTATGTCTAGATTGTTAAGGCTGGATGTGGATGGTTCCTAGTGTCTTGGGGAAGGGAGGCTGGGGGCGGGGAGCCAGATAGGGAGAGAGGGGAGATGGTAGGGGATGGCATTGTGGTGGTGATGGGCATGGGAAGGTATGGTGGGAGACAAGGGGCGGGCCACTCTTGGGGAAGGCGGCCCCAGTGTTTAATACTGGTACTGTGTTCTGGCCCCCTGTACTTGGCCCCTGGATCTGGTTTCTGGAGCTTCGGTGGCTCTGGTCTCCAGCTGCTGCTGCTTAATACCAGGTTGACTTGCAATAAAGCCCACTCATCCACTATTTGATTGTGGATGGGAGAGCCAACTTGGCTTGTATAACAAGACCTGGTTGGGCACTGAAGGGGGGATTCTACTCTCTGAAATGTGCCATCCCAGGTTTTGAGGGTGGCATCAGCTGGAACTCCACGGTGGCGGTTGTTATTCATGAGCCTCTGGTGGCCTCCAGGGGCCCTGCTCCAGACATCACCAGATGTGAGACCCTCTTTGTGGGGTTGAGTCATAGGGATCAGTGGGGAATGCTGCTCACTTACCTTCCTCCCTGCAGTGTAGCTGGATCCCTGCCTGTGCTCCTGGACTCTGTCTGAGCTGGTGGTGGAGTTCCCCAGGCTTATGGTTCTGGGGAATTTCACCCTGCCCTCTCTGGCTTGGGGTCTAAGGTAGCACAAGAGTTGATAGCACCATGGCAGCCGTGGACTTGGTTCAACTTTGTCAGCCTTACCAGGTAGACCAGACAGGAAACACGACCAAATAAGCTAAC